ACAAGTGTAGCCACCCGGTGCACCTTGCAAGTGTGTGTATGACGCAGCCTTAGCAGTGACCGCACTTTCAATGGAAACAAAGTTATAAACGGTTATAAGGCCTGACAACTAAATTCAAATTATTATTATTAACAAAAACCTACAAAAATGCGTTACTTTATGGAGCCAATCTCTCACCTTTATCTCAACCTCTGTATCGACAATCGGCAATAGACACTCAGCCTTGCGTGTTCACTTTGTGCATCCAAATACAATCCAATATGTTGCTGATATGCGCCAAAATGTAAATTATCAAAATGATCTTTGTACTTCCCGATAAACTTGCTCAAGTCACGTCATTGTAGGTAATTTTGCGTTATTCTAATTTGACGGCGAGAAGGTGTAACAAAATCAAGGGAGGAAACTGAAGTTTCAGGTGTGTGTGTGTGTGTGTGTTGGGGGGGGGGGGTGAGAGCTGGAGTATTTATTTTTTTTAAAGGGAAGGGGTTAAGTATATCGTGCGCTATTTCGCCATTGTAATATTAAAACTAACTTAAAGCTATAGTCCATCATTTGCAGCCATCCGAAAAGTAACTGGCGTAATTACTGTTGAAAAACAAACTTGGTTGAAAGATAGTAAGGGAACTAAACTCACTGTGAAATTATTCTTTCTGGGAAGCTGTCATTTTGAAGTAATCAACGAAAGAAGGCATTTCCAACGGTGATTCTTAAGAAGCACCGTAGGAAAATTTAAATTAATAGTTCGTTTTGTTATTCAGCGCAGCGCGCACAAGTATTGGAACGACGCGCACGCGCGCGCGGTTGTTATAATTCGTCAGATCAGTGCGCGACGCCGCGTATAACTGCAATTCAAAACAATTCAAAACATGATTCAGTAACTTTTGATTTGAAATTGAGATCTGAGAATGCTGTTTTTTTTCGGAATGAAAAGCTGAAGCTTAGCTGAAACTTCATCAGGTTAGTTGTTCAGCACCCTTCATTAGATTTTGAACTCTTTTGTTGCTTCAAACGAACAAAATGCACAAATTACATATGATGGACTGTAGCTTTAAGGTACGTGTAGCTGATGGCTTGCGAGGGAGATAGGCAACGTCTTAATTTAATTGCTGAAGACAAAAATGTGTCTTCATTCCTCCAATTAACAAAAAAAATCATTGGGAGGTGAGGGCCGGGGGGGGGTGGGGGGGGGGGGGGGGGGGGCTGGCCCTCCTGCCCCCAGATCCGCCAAAGGACAAGATAGGTATTAGTTAATGCACAGTTGCGAATGGCATATCCATGTACGTACATGTACGCATGTATATCAAAACTCCCAGGCTATAAGAACCACCAACCCCCCCCCCACAAAAAACACCAAGGAGGACTTTGGAAAGTCTATTTGTTTGCTTTTCTCAACATATGTTTACAAAGTTCGAGGGCATAATAATAACCCACTACATTTTGTTTATCTGTGTGAACTGTGCAGGCCATATACAGGGTGAGTAAAAAAAGCGGAACTTAAACCCCAAAACATATATTTCATATTAAAAAAAATGTAGCACCACAATAATGACTGAAACCCAAATTTCATAAGCTACTTATAGATGAAAAAATACTAAAATTGCTCAATCCGTTCAAAGAAAATCACCATTTAAACGCAATGTCCCTAAAGCCTGTATCGTCCAAATAAGCACTTCATTGTGTGGTTTTGACTGAACATTTGGAACAACAAAGAAAATGACACAGAATGCTTGTTTCAACAACTGCCACCAACTGCAGTACACAATATCTTTATTAAGTAACTTTGGTTAGGCAAACAATATGATTTAGGAAATCTACTTTTTTTAAAGGACTGGCCTTCAAAGGGATTCTGTTTTATTTTATACTTTTAATCTGAGATTTTATCGCTGGTGATGTTTGAAGACAATTGCAACGACGATTTTTCAAATCGCATTTTTTTTGGGGATGAGACAGGTTTAAGGATCATTTTGTTTAAATGGTGATATTTGAACGGATTGACCAATATGGTATTTTTTTTTTCATCTAAAAGTACCTTATGAAATAGGCTTTCCAGTCATTATTATTTTTGGTGTTAAATATGAAACTTTTTTTTTACTCACCCTGTTCATTTTCACTTGCTCATTTTTATTTTCATTTCTTCTTAGTCCGTAATTAAATGCATATTATTGCCCATAAATGCCCAAACGCTTCGTAAGGTTTTCTGTTTGTAATACAGAAAAAAACATATTACCGGTTTGTACTTAAATTGTAATGTAATTTGTACTTTAAATGTAATACATGCGTGTTGTCTTATTAATGGTTTTCTAACATATCAGTTACTTCTGCAAGTGCAAAACTTTGCCCTCTGAATTCACTATCAATTTGAAAACTTAAATTAAATATTCAAAGAAAAGGAAAGTACGTATACGTGCAGTTACATAATAAGATGAGCATCAAACTATTTTGCTTGTCATTGCAGGAGATAAGAAACTACTTATACTCGGACTCGCTAATGGATGATCAAGACATAATCTTTGGGTTTTTTTGCCACAGCTTCAAGCAATTTATCGAAAATTATTTGCCAGATACCGAATTTGTTTGGGCAGCTGGCATATGGGCTACGTGCAGGCCAAAACATATCAACCACACAATCAATGGACACCGTACCCAGGTCCAATGGGCAAACCAGGCCCAATACATATCAACCACCCAATCAACACACCCAGGTCCAATGTACATGTATGTCAATTACCATTTGGCTCCCAGGCCAAGCATTAATGAATGGGCACCCAGGCCCAGGAGTAATCATGCCAGAACCTATATGTGGTAAATATTTTGGGGACAGCCATGGTTGCGCTATCACACCCAACCCCCATGGGTACAAACAGTTTTGAGAGAGAGAGATCATACTTTGGCAAGTTTTATTTATTAATCTCTACAACAAAAGATGCCACTACTATCAATCCAACATTCTTGCTCTTTTTATATGCCCTGAGTTGTCTAGTCATTATTACAAAGTGGCTTATTCGTGCAACAATACTGTCATAGCAAGGTCATATGTTATATAGCACCCATCCACACCCCCCACACACTTGTTTGTTTCACATACGTAGTGTGGACTTTCCTTTCTTTTCGTGTAGTTAAGGAACACCAGTGGAAAAACTCATTTTTCTCAAACTGTGAAAACTCTTTCAACCCAATTTTTTTTCTATGATTCCATTTAGTGTTTCTCTTCATTCTGCTACATATAAACATAACCCCAAAATGCCTCTAAACCTGTTTTCCAGAGATGGGGAAACAAAGTGTGGACGTTTGCAAGTCCACACTTCGTCGCTGCTACCTACATTATGTGGACGTGTTTTGTTCGGAAGTCCACACTGCGTATGTAAGACAAGCTCACCCACATGTTCTGCATACCATTTGAGCCCCTGAGCACAATACCTACTTTTTGAGGAGCCCTCATATTGTTCCCAAATTAAGAACACTTAGTCTGGGTATGTGTGTTGTGTGTGTGGTTGTGGGTAATTTGCATATGACGTTCCAAGTATGAATTTTCAGCAGTACCCACAGGAATGTAGGGAGATTTGTCAAGGCCATACAAGTTCTTTTTTTGTATTAATTATTTTTTTTTTACAACATGTGTATGCACTTGGGCAGTAATGTGTATGCACTTGGGCAGTAAAACGAAAATCCACTTTTTTTTTTAAATATGCAAACCAAATGGACCCTTTACGCAAATGAGAATCTTGTTCTTGTTTTTTTTTTTTCTCAATGGCGTCAGCTTTTATGACTCAAACTATAAAATATAACTGAATGATGAGTCACAATTCACTTTGGCTTACATGATAGGCCTCAGAATTGACATTATTTTTTTATTTGAAAAAAAACCCAAAAAAACTAACACTTTAGATAGAGTTATAGTTATCTTGAAAGATATACACAATTGGAATTTCTACCATGATTGTATTTTTGTTTTATAAATTCACTCCCAACTAAATAATGTTGTAACACTATCTTTATAAAACGTTTTTACATGATATTTTATACAAGATATTGAACATTCGTTCATCTTTTGTAGATTGCCCTCGACTGTCTTGTCTATTACAAATCACCACAAATCCCAAGCAACCACAACTTAATCACAAGTCACCCAGTTTCAAGTCAAGTTACAAACTGAATTTAAATCATTTACAAAGGAATTCGTTTTTCGTTGTTCATGCGACCTGACTCGTGATTTGCTTTGTGATCGACTTGTGATTTGACTGGCGATTTGACTTGTGTTTGACCTGTGGTTGACTCAATTAAACAAAGAATTTTTGGGGAATCTCCTTCGATCGCCAAGCACAATTATTGAGCTATTCGTTGTAATAAAAACCGAGTTAGAATATTTACGACAAAGATGTTGAATGGAGTGCGTGATATTTTCTGAAACGTTCCTCCAAATGGAACAGTTTTTCGTCCCATGTTACAACCAAAATATCTGAGATTTTTTTTTCAATTTTTTGTATTAATTTTGTTATATAAAATGACCTCAGCTTGTTTATTCATGGACACATGTTATTAATCACGATTGTGTACATTTTCTATACCCTCACTCTAAAAGCTTTCTTTACGATGGAACTTCTGGTATTCAGTTTATCAAAAACAAACACATACATTATCTTACATACATGTATACACAGATGTTAAATAAACATATTAATTTGAATGAAACAGTGACACTATAACTCCTTTGAGATACGCAGTGATATTAATGTCATACCACAAAATACAGGTAGCGTATGTAGGAAAGAAAAATGTACAATAGAACAATAATTGTTTACACTTCTATGCAATGCTCTTATTGGAGAGGGTCATCCAATTATGGGCAAAATCAAAGCAGGCACTGTATTCAGGGTAGAGTAGCAATATTATGTAGTTTTGCCTTAACCCTATCTCCCTATAGGGGGTGTGCAAAATCGTATTGAAATTGGAGGATTCAGGATTGTTAGGGCTATTATGCAAATTTAGATCTATCTATGTCGGGTGTGGTTTTGCTTGTGGGCTGTTCATCTTCCAAAAGCCCCGAGACATAAATGACGTCACGCTTCGAGTACGTGTGCCCCGCCCCAGGTGGGAATAAGGGCCACGAGGCTCCCACTCCCATTTTGTTTAGGCAGATTGTTTTTCCATTATTTCTTGACAGATCTGTGCAGCCATACTTTTTTGACAATGCAAACCTCCCCCCCCCCCGAAGTCAAAGTCACAATGAAGGTCGAACGCTTTGGCCCCAAGCTCAGATTTTCAATCTTATTCTTTGGGATTATTTGAGGATTTCAATTCCTTGCAACTAAAATCTTTCAAAACATGTGATTTCTTGAAAGTTCACACCGTTCGGCCATTCCTCCTTGAAATTGTATGTAAATCACCCATTTTATTAACTTGAATAGATGCTACGGTTGTTTTCTGTACGTGGTAAAGGTGAGATGAACAAAATGTTTGAGAGAGAATTTGCTCTGCGGAAAGCAATCCACATCACCTAACAAAGGACTGGTCGTTTAACAAGGGGTCCGAAAAATTAAGAAGGAAAAATAAGTGGAAGAAAATTGAAGCGTACATATGTCATTATTACACACGGAATCTTTCGATTTTAACGGTTGTCGTATTCTAATAAAGGTTGACAAAATTGGCAGGACAGCTATGGGTAGTCTATGAAATAGCCGCGTGCACAATAGCGTCCATATGATATTCGTGCAGATTCGACGATTAATTATGCAAAACGAGACTGCGTCTTGTAATTGTATTGAGTTGACCTTCAGATTCTGATCGTTCAGCGGGCGCCTTCCTATCAGGTCTTCGGTAACCCGTTGTTGTACTACAAAAATATGGCAGCCAATTATTTACCAATCAACAGCTGAGGCTGAAATGACAATACAATTTCTAAAGTCGATTCCGATTGGCTGCCGCGATGCTTCGCATAACATTTACATGCGCGGATACTATATCCGGCGTTCGTACTCTGGCTCTGCACACGTAAATCTTCAGACTACTCATAGTATTTGTGATGTCGGCATGATAAACTTGCCAAACTTGAACGGGCAAACTTCCTCGGCATCGATGACAAAACGTGCCGGACAACAACCCTTTTTTTCATGAAATTTCTCGTGAGGGAAATGATTTTCATCCACGAACTTAAAGTCATGCTCTTCTGGTCTCAATGGACTTATTTGTCTTAATCAGACAATCTCGCCCTATTTTGTTATATGCACGATGTATTTGAAGTACTTTGAGATCGACTCGGTACTGGATACAATTATGAAAAATTCCGCTATTGTACGAAAACTATGCACGTAAAATGTCTCGTCGAGGAAGTCATTTTCTAACATTAACTGCCAATACCAATCCTGCAGATGACGTCATCGTGCCGCGACAATTTGCTGTATGTCCTCCCTTGACAAATCGCGGAAACTCAAGCCCAGTTTTTGGGAGTTTTGATGTCCTTTAGGTGACACAATGACTGACCTGATCCAGTTAGGATATTGAAAGACAAATCCAATACTTCAAGGTTGGGCATATTGCTAACTGCCACGGCAATGTGCTGTATGTCCTTCCCTGACAAACTGCAGTCATTCAAGACCAGTTTTTTGAGAGTTTTGATTTCCTTTAGGTAAGACAATGACCTACCGGATCCAGCAAGGGTATACATGTATTGCGAAACAAATCCAACCCCTCAAGGTTGGGCATATTTCTCACTGCCACGGCAATGTGCTTTATGTCCTTCATTGACAAACTGCAGTCATTCAAGACCAGTTTTTTGAGGGTTTTGATTTTCTTTAGGTGAGACCATGACCGACCTGATCCAGCAAGGGTCTCATTCTTAGACAAATCCAACTCTTCAAGGTTGGGCATATTGCTCAGTGCCACGGCAATGTGCTGTATGTCATTCCTTGACAAATTGCAGACACGCAAGACAAGTTTGTTGAGGGTTTTAATTTCCGTTAAGTACGACCACGACCGACGTGATCCAGCAAGCAGGGTATTGCCAGACAGATCCAATTCAACAAGGTTGGGCATACTACTCAATCCCCCCACAACGAGTTCCATGTAATACGGCATTAGACGGCAGCTCAACAAGGTCACGGACTGAAGCGACGTCATTTCTTTCAGGCAAGAGTTAAGTAAAGGTATACAGTTGTAAGAAAAAAACGATAGCCGATGCTCCGCACTTATATGAAAATCACGAAGATTTGCCATTCTAGTCATATAATTCACAAATTCTGCACCTAACGTTCCAAAGGCGACGGGTGATGTCCTCAGTGATTGTATGTTGTTAAGGTAAGCATTCCCCCCATCTTGTGTTTGGTCTGTAACGTTGTGTAGGAAGTACATCAACGATGTCAATTCATCACGGCTTTCAATTTCAACACAGAGTGTTGGAACAATAACGTGGTGTATTAACTCCAACGGTGGCAATGTCTGGCTCTGACTTTCAAAGTAACAGTGCAGGGCTAATTGTAAGTGTTTATCATCTAGAGCTCCTGCCCGTTTGACTTTATGTGATAAAATATTCAAAATTGAATTTGTACGTGGCCCTTCATTGTCACCGCAGCAAAAGCGCAGTAGATATTCAAACCCTGCTGTTTCAGACAGTTGAAGGAAGAACGTTTGAAATGGTTGTGTTTCGCCTTCCGATGTTAAACTTTGGTAGCATTTCGCAGCGCAAAATTCTTGAAAAGTCTTATGGATGAAATGAACACGTTTACAAGTGTCGATATCCTTAAAGACTCTCTGACTGGTGAGGATGCCAGATCGTATGGCCAAATCAAGTACATCCGGATCAAAATCTTCCTCTTGAAATGTTAGCTTTTGATCAGATGAAAGAAGACCGCCCAAAGCAACCTTTCCAATTGCAATAACAAGCCTTGATATTTCTTCTGTTGACGTAATGCCCTTACGTTTAAATATGTAAAACAGTGCCTTATCATAAAGACGGAACATTGTGTCAGGGAGTGTTGCACTCTCTCTCCATAACAAACACATCAATAACAACATCATGGGACTTGACGCCAAATCAGTTAGAACTGAGGATTTTATCCTCTGAAGAAGTCCGTCAGCTTTGGATGGTTCTTCTGAGTAAAATTTGTGTACATATTCCTCAATATCGTGCTTACTAAATCCCAAAACATTCACAACAGCAAACGGTTTCTGAATCAAAGTCTTCTTTACCAGTTTGTCATAGTGTGAGGGGCGGGTTGTCACAAGTACACTGCATTTTTTGTACTCTCCCTTTCGATTAAGCATTTTAAGAATCGAACTGAACTCCGTCACATCAAGTTCGGTCGACATGAATTCATCAAATCCGTCCAACAGGAACAGCACGTCCTCAGGGTTGGCTGTAATGAAGGATTTCAAATCCTCTCTATTTATGGTCTTCTTATCTAATAACTGATCAAACAATGCGTCGATCACATCCGACTTTTGTTGCAGGGAATGCATTTTCAATACAAAAACAAGTTTGTACTTTTTCAGTGCAGCAACAGAGCCACAAGCCCAATCGTAAGCAATTTTGTCAATAAGAGTCGTTTTCCCTAGACCAGCCCATCCTCTTAAAATTGCCCGTATGATTGGATGACCCTCTTTTGATTTCAGTTTGAAAATATCCCAATACGATTTTACCTTTCCCTTTAAATCAGTATCGCCCTTTTCTAATTGTAACTTTGTGTAGATGTCCATAATATGCTTTTTGTCGTCATCGACCCATGGAAGCATCTGCACGTAGCTACCCGTGCTAGTGTATATTTCTTTTAAAGCCTTCCTACACCTACTTGCAGCAGTTTGCTTAGCTCGTCTTTGCTCTGACTTTGACCGAGTAGCGTTCGTCTCTCCTGTGAAAGTAATAAATACGCCAACCGTTACAACTGGATTCCTTGTTCAATATATCGACAAAATCACGAATCAAATTGATCAATAGTTTGGATAGCCCTACTGTACTGTGTTTAATTGAGTCAATCACAGCTCAACCACAAGTCAAATCACCAGTCAAATCGCAAGTCAATCAAGAGCCAAATCACCATTGTCTATTAAAACCCGATCTGAAAACCTCTTCAATTCAGTTCGCAGGGCAAAACATTTTGATACATTTTCTTTACACAAAAGCAAATTTAGATATTTTTCTATGAGAATGGATGTCAACTGATTGGTCCACCGTAGCCTTATTAGTTTTGAAAGTTGCCGGCAAACTTTTGTGTACAAAGCAAAAGAAAAAGTAGATCTGCGTGTGGACTTACCTGCCGGAGCAGTAGGCATGCTTGTATTACGTGGTATCCCTTGTTCACTGTCCTCTTCCTGGCTCCGTGAGTGACGCCGACGACCTGAAAAAATATGCAATCCGAGAGTTACTTTGGGATTAAGGCATTGTCCTTTGCAGTTATGTTATAGGAAAAAGTGTGTTTTTAAATAAATGCCTATAAAAGAACCTCAACAAAATCTGGATTGAGAAAGCGGGGGGGGGGGGGGGGGATGTCCCTCCGATAATTATTAGGCATTGGACACCAAAGGCGTTGTTCCTCCCCCAATAAGTATCCCAGTGCGTTTATGTTTTAACCAAAATGAACCTAAATTGGCACCGTAATAATATTAAAACTAAACAATGTTAAAGCTCTACTAATTAATCTTTAAAACGTTTTTAGGTATAAAGACTTGGCAATGTAATAATTAACTAACTTCATACCTGTTGTGCTCCGCTGTCGACGTCTACCGATGACATTATCACCATTCAAATATTTCACTAATGAAAAGAAAGACAATGCCATAATTAAAAGAAATACCCATTATTAGGTCACCAACAACCTTTCCCACGTGTTTCATATGAGGTAAATGAGAATATAAGAAATTCAAATAATGTTTACAGATATACTATCCCTGCTCTTTCTTGAATTCGATTTTTTTATAATCCAGATAAATCTTTAACTTGTATGTTTTTACTTCAATATTTTGTCTATTTTGAGCGTGTGCATCCCTACGAAAAACAATTTTAAGTTTGGATTGTATTTTCACACATTTAAAACATATCCAATTACCTGCGTCGGAGTAGGGACCACTATGTTTGCGGGGGGGGGGGAGGGTGTCTACCCAATGTTCCCTAATACCTATATTCCCCAGTTCCAATGTTACCCAATACCTATGTTCCCCAAAATCCTTAGGATTAGGGTTGGGGTTAGGGTTAGGGTTAGGGTTGGAGAACCGTTATTGGGCAACTCTTATCCTAAGGATTTGGGGGAACATAGGTATTGGGCCTGGGGAACATAGGTATGCACTGTGCACCCTTTGCGGGTGTATACCAGTAAATCAATTCCCATAGGCACCAATGATAATACCCCACCTCAAACAAAATTGGGGAAAATACTAACGAGTCTTACAGGTCATCAAGACATACATCAAATTAAAGCTTGATTTGCCCATTTAGAAAAAATGATTACTCAGTCCATTGCACACCCCCCCACCCCAACTCTCGGATCCTCTGCCCTGAAACAATTTTAAGGTAGGCAGTGATTATCCAATCATACTCACACAATCCCAGAATTAGGGCGAACAAAGCTATCAAAACAGTCGGGATTCCAATGCCAATGACTGCCCAGGTCCTGGCATCCAATCCTGATCCTTCAGGTGTAGGCTTGAGCACGGTGGGCCTGGGAGCAGCCGAAATGGTTGTCATGTTGTCTGATGTTGTCATTGCTATAGTGCGCTGAACTGTACAAATGAATAACAGTAGTTAAAAAAAAACTTTAGGACTTATACTATAACAATTATTATCAATTAAGTACTATAATATTTTAAAAATATTTTTAAAATCTTTCTTTTTGACCCACCCTGTATATTATACAGGGTTGGTCAAAAAGAAAGAAAGAAATATTTTAAAAATATTTTTAAAAACTTTCTTTTTGACCCACCCTGTATATTATACAGGGTTGGTCAAAAAGAAAGAAAGAAATATTTTAAAAATATTTGGCTAGCTCCATTTCACTCACAAACAATTGGGACAACGTACATCCTATTGACTTTTAACTTTGAAATTTAATGTAATTTGCATACTCTATTCCAAGTTATGTCTATTTCAATAAAAAAATCACAAAACTCGCCTGTCCACTACTGATCATTTACCGTTCTACGAACCGATGAATGCCTATTGAGTACAATGAAACGTGGACGTGTAATCTGTAATACTCACCCAGCTCTATGGCAATTCCATTGACAGCTATATAAATTGGTTCTCTTAGTAAAACGTTCATAACTCCTGACAGCATGGATCAATATTTGAGTATTTTTTTTTTGAGATGAGTGAAAGAAGATGCTCTTTTAGATATATTTCATTGGTGTTTCAAATTTGATTGCTTTTTAAGTAAATAATCATTAACTTGGGTAACTTTCTTTTTGACTCACCCTGTATACATGTGTGTTATATTACCATTAAGATTGTAATGAAGTATGAGTGTAAATATTAGTAGGGAATAAAAATAACGTAGTATTACAAATAGTTCGGCTATTTAATGTGAACTGCTGAAAAGAATCATCGATAAGACTTCTTCATATTCTCTTTGTCCGCTTCATCTTTGTTATTAAATAAGTATTTTACGTATATTTATTGGTTGTACGCATTGCAAAATATGACAGTATGACATAAATATTCTAGAAAAAATTAAAAAAAAAAAAAACCAACAAAGGCCTAATGCAGCGAATGTATCAGCACTGATTTTTCTTCTCAAAATGGTTCGGTACTAGGCTTTCACTCTGATAAATCAAACATCACAAAAACTTTGTGAGTAAAAAATAGTCGCTGTATATTACTGTTGAACGATTATAATAAGAATATTTCTAGTAATACCGAAATTCGATACTGATCAACCGAAATCTAAACTAGAATCGATTCTCCTAGACCGATATTCACTACATGAATATGGAACAATGGAAAACTACTGAATTCCAGCCTTTAGATTCCAGGACATTGTTTGGTGAAATTCCCATTGTGGTTCACATGAATATTCATGAGTCTTTACACAATCACTATAACAAGTTTTAGCGTGGTAAATAAGGGTTTTGTTTCGATTTACTTGATAAATTCTCGCCTCTATCAACCCCTGTCTATACACGGAATTATGCCTTCACACACACACAATTACACACAAACCACACACAGACGTGGTTTCAGCAAGTGTAGCCGTCCATTACACAGTCTAGTGCACCTTGCCAGTGCATGTATAACGTAGCCTTAGCAGTGACCGCACTTTCAATGGAAACAGACTTCCAACGGTTAGGCCTGAAAATTCAAATTATTATTATCAACAAAAACCTACAAAAATGCGTTTATCATACGGTAATTCTGAACTCAATCTCTCACCTTTATCTCAACCTCGGTATCGGTAATAGACACTAAGCCTTGTATGTTCAATTTGTGCATCAAATGACAATCCAAAGACCTTACTGACACGAATATTTTTCACTAAAGTTCCGCCAAAATGGAAGTTGTCGGGGGAGAATACGTCATGAACTATGTTCCCGATAAACTTGTTCAAGTACTTTCATTGTTGGTAAGTTTGCGGCTGGAAGGTGTGACGAAATAAGGGGCGGATACAGAAATATATTTTCTGGTGGAGGTAGGAGGGCTAGATTATTCTTTTTTTCAAAAAAGGGGAAGGGGATTAACAATATAGGATCATGTGCTATTTCTACATGTAATATTATAGCATGCGAGGAAGATACGCAAAGTCTTAATTTCCGAAGTCAACATGTGTCTTCACTCCTCCAATTAAAAACAAAAATCGTTGTTTTTGTTGTTGTTGTGGGGGGGGGGGGGGTGGCGCCCATGGCCCCACCTTCTCCGCTAATGAACAAAAATTAGCTTAATAAGTTAATACACAGTCGGAATGGTATATCCATGTACACGCATTTGTAGCAATTGATACTTTTGCCTTGAATTTTGCCTGAGAAATGATTTCATAACTAAATAAAATGAATTAATACTTCAGTATAAATGGTACATGTATTAACACTCCCAGGCTATGGTAAAAAAGCACAAAACACCACGGAGGACTTGGCACGTCTATTTGTTTGCATTCCACAACACGTACCGCTCCATAAAAATGTGCAGTGAACCCTAACAAGTTCACGAACGCGTAAATTGTGAAGGTCTATACAACATCATTCACGCTTATTTTCATAACCGTTCCTTGTGAGTAAAATGCATAATTGCGATATGTGTCTCGGTGAGACAAGAGGTAAACGATATACAAATGCCAAAACGCTATCTAAGGTGTTTTGTTTGTAATACAGAAACAAAATGTTACCAGTTTGTACTTAAACTGTAAGTTGTACTTTATTAATGTAACATATCAGCCACTTTCTGCAAATTGGATTGAATTGCCTGGCCCTCTGAATTCAGTATCGAAACTAAGGAAAAAATTTAATAAAAGGAAGGTGCGTGTACGTGTAGCACACTGAATTAAAAAAAAAACACCAAGAGCATCAAAACTATTATACCAGTCTTTCCACAAGATAAGAAACAACATAATACACGAATGGGCAATACCGCCGCGCACAAGTTGACATGGGTGAACTTTTATGAAGGCTTCAGGACTACAAGCATTACAACCTCAAAATGGTATCAAATTAAAGGGGGCAACAATAACTTTCATCTGAGTGGTGTTCCAGAGAGATGCGGCCAATTGCATATTTTTCCAAAATAAATGGGGGGGGGGGAGCTAAATTTTTTTCTGACTTTTTGAAATTACATGAATGTACTGTATATGCTCTGCACAGATACATTTACATTTACACAGTCATCTGCGTCAACACAACAGTGCGCGCGCATTGTTTTACGACACTCGTAGATTTATAATAAGTATATAAATATGACGACACTAACACGTTTTTCAGTGTAACTTGTCGCGGTTCTGGCAAGATGTAAACTACAATCCCGGCCAAATCTCGCAGGGCTTCCAACACCTCGGTCCTCACTCAATATTTTGTCTCTCATTGCGCAGTGTGTGCTCCATTAGCTGGAGAGAACAACATCATCAGTGGAGCGGGGGAGCGGGGGAGCGGGGGGGGGGGGGAGCGGGGAAACAGGGGAGTGGGTGACCGTGGGAGGCTCAGGAAGTGTCCCAACCATTTTGGCCGAGATCGAAGCGGGTTTTGTGATTTTTCCTCTTTTTTTTTAAACACCAACTTATAGTTATTCCGACTTAGGCTAAAAAAAAATTGTCGGTCTCTGGTCAGACCGAAGTTCCGGAATTAATGCGGCGACGCGGTTTTTAATTTTTTTTGGTGGCTTTTTTCCCCAAGCTTGAATTGTACAGACAATTGATACTATTTTGCTTTTTTGTGTTCTCATTATACATTGGTGTCCTCCATAATTTGCCTTGGTGCCCTCGATCAATTGCCTTGGTGCAATTTCCTCATTCCTTGGTGCTCCTTGGTACAAAAATTTGAGGAGGTGCGGTACTAGAGGGCGCTGGTGTAGCTTCCGTGTTAATTTCTATATGGTTAATTTGAAGAAAAATAAGGTTGACGCGCATGATTAAAAACGACGCGCGCGCTGACCAGAGACCGAGTATTTTATTGGCCTTAATTCAAGTGTATGAGAAACCTAAATGCTTTGACTTCAAAGAAAAAAGGCAGACAGTTGACGGAAGACCCCCGTTAATGTGTCGCAAGTTACCATGGAATTGATATATGTAATTCATTACGTTACACATATATATATATATATATCATTTTATATGCACTGATAGAAATCCAATGCAACAATTTTGCCAAGGTAGAAGAACAAAACTGCTGCGGAAATGGATATCACTATTTAGGAACAAATAGCTAATAATACTGCACGGCAATATAAGGTCTAGTAAGCATTATCGAGTCCCAGAAAATTTGGGATTGTGGTTACAAATTTCCGCCTTCACGCACAGACAAATGTGTTTCACAAAAGGGATCATGTGGCGCCCGAGTTGGACCCAATCGGCGGGTACAATGGGAGGTTCACGGCACGATCTCTCAAGAGACAATTTTACTACTTAAGCACTAAAAGGCATTATTGTCCAATGCTTTCGTTATACGTTTCAATCATGTCGTCCATCAATTTGCCGGAAATTCGAAGATTTCTTGACCGGATAAACCGTCCCATTAGTCTAGCTTCGCACCATCATTAAATTTGTCCGGAATTCGGGTTGTTTTCAGGCTTCTTAAGTTGAACTAAAAGGCATTATTGTCCAATGCTTTCGTTATACGTTTCAATCATGTCTTCCATCAATTTGCCGGAAATTCGAAGATTTCTTGACCGGATAAACCGTCCCATTAGTCTAGCTTCGCACCATCAGAAAAATTTGTCCGGAATTCGGGTTGTTTTCAGGCTTCTTAAGTTGAACGCAGAGCCACGTTGCTTATCAAAATGCAAAGTCGTTTAATTTTCAAAAATAGTAATTTTTGATAACTTTGATATGTTATGTATATTTGCATTCCCCATTCTCTTCAACAAATTCGACCCCCCCCCCCTTTTGGGAGGGGGCGGGGCGTTTGCAACCGTCTGAAAATAGGCTTTAGCTTTGGTTACAAACTTGCGAGCAGACTGGCTGCCGGTCCATATGTTATCGATACTGATTATGGGGCGGGAACTAGCCTAACTCACGGAACGGAATTATTGTCCAGGCCTCAATTTCAAATTTTGTAAAATATTTATTCAATATCTATGGCCAAAAAAAGTCTCCGGTTTCTGGTATGGAGCTTGCCCAAAAAGTGGTGCGGCGACGCGGCTTTTTAATTTTTTTTTTACCTGTTTTTTTTTGCTTCAAATGTCGGCTGATGACTGCAAATGGTGCCCGGCTAAACTTAGTGCAAATATATGGGAGTCCAGAGAGGCCACATAAAGCTTATTCTCGATCATGACCCCATCTAAAAACACGTTAAAATTGTGCAGCAGCAGGATTCCAGTCAAACCAGTGAGTTTGGCGGTTTTATTGAAAAAAAAAAACTTTTCCATTTTGCCGACGCGCATGGCTACGGCGACGCGCGCGCATACCAGAAACCGGAGACTTTTTTTTTGGCCTAAACGAGGGCCGATTTGTATTTTTCGGTCGATGTCTCATCAAAAGTGAATAACTTTTCTATTGCTAGAAATTACGAAAAGGAATTCTTGTGAAACTCGAAAATAGCACGGGAATGACATCTTTAATATGAGTGGAAAGGGAGGGGAAAAGGCACTGAATTACTATTTTATAGTTTTAACGAATGACCATTTTAACCACGATTGGTGTAATTCTCTAAATAGACCCTTTCATAAAATTGGTCACTGCTCAGTCAACCGTGAATGTAAGGACATGACCAGGGTGTCATTTTAAAGAGGAGATTCAACCCTAACAGAGGATATCTCCCTTTGATTCACATGTGCCCTACTTCTGTTCTAATTAGCAATAATATCTAGGTTTCGTTTTTTTATTTATCCACCCTGTACAGTGTGATGAATGTGATCCTGGCCGTCTTAAAAAAATACCATGTCGATAATGAAGGCCGAATTCGAATGATCATCACAGCCAAAGCAATGCATTTTAACTCGTTTCAAGACAAATCAGTTTTGAGCTTTTTATCAAAATGAAAAATTGAATGGTCCTCACTCGTAAAGATAAAGAGGGGCTTATAGTTCGTGATCATATATCACGAAGCAGACATTATTGCATACGATCATCATATTCGCAATAATAGGCTACTGTTATGACTAGTCTTTTGCTTTGGCGTTGAAGCAAATTCGATGGGAACAATCCATCACCTGTGAAGCATACAGAAATCATCGCTTAATGGAGAATACTCATTTATAATATGCCCCCAATGCATTCATAGACTTTTGACTGACACAGCTGTACTTGTGTCTTTGGACATGTTATTCGACTATTGCGTGTCTCACTTTCAAATTGCAAACTTTGATGTCACATAATTACATCATAACTTGCACACTGTATCACAAACAGGAGAATTTACGAACAATTGTTCAAGCATATTGACGACACATGTGGGTGCAAGTGGCATCAGGCAGTTGACTATTAAAAGCCAAATATTTTTGCCTCTTGTTGAAAAAGCAAGAAAGGATTCAATACATAAACATGACTATTATTTCTGTTTGTCATCAAATTAAAAACTGTAGCTTTGAAGAATATTTAGACGATTTCTCTCAGTAAATTCTTGGACCACATGGTTAAAATCTTGAATGCAATAATCCTTTCCATCCCATTGCTTTAAAGGGACAATAAGTCCATAAATGCGCCTAATTGAGCTACAGAAAAAAATGATATTAATTTGAAAGAGCGTTTAAAAGTGGGATATAAACGTCCACCGAACCATCCTTTTAAAAAAAAACTGGGCGATTTTGTGTTATTCTTGCAAGAACCATGCCAGAACGAATTTCGGGGGTCACAATGTTAAAATCGAGCTGTTGGGTACTAGCTGTGAATCCTGCATTCGGTACAATTCGAGGGGCA